CTTTAAGTTTGAATCGTTTCCATACTTAGTTATCCTTCTTCCTGTTTGGTTTATTACAACCTTTTTTGTGATTTATTCTCCTTCAAAAAACTGACTCTAAATTTCTTAACGTAAATATTTCAGCTTAGGAGGATTACTGTAATTCTCCTCGCTGAACTATTTACAAAAAGCCATTTAATATTTTAGGATCTTTTACAGTATACCTTACAAACGTCTGCTGTCAGTACATAGGTCCACCATGTTACTGAGACTTTTGTTTTCCTGGTGTTATGATATCCATGTAACTGTTGTATCACCGCATGAAAGACATAAAAGATAACCGGATCAATATCAGTATCTGGGCAACTGCCCACCTATCCCTCCCCTAACCCAACATTAACCGTAAATTGTTGTCAATTGACTGTTGTTGAGTTAGGGGAGGGGTAGGTGGGCAGTTGCCCAGATATGATATTGATCCAGATAACCAAACCTTTAAATTTTCAAGTTGCTTTACAATGATCATTTTGGGTAGCGGAAGAGATTAGTTAAAAACTGAGCATTGATTTAGAGGTGTTACTCATCTGAAAGACCGTAATTGTATTGTTGGGAACTATGCTTTTCTACCCTCGTTATACTATGAAAGGTTTCAAATTTACAGCAAATGCGACTGTATTAGTTTATCGTATGGTTAGCCTTAGAAAGAGCAACTGTTCTTGTCTCTTGGACTCTCTTTACAAGTCAACAGGCAGATGATAAAGGTAAAATCCGTGTTATTGGTTCTTAGTTTTGCTTTTTTGCTTCCTTGTTAAAGCTCTTCCAGTTTAGTTTGTGATGGAAACGTTACGCTGGTTTCTTCTGTCAAAGAACTTTATGACAAGTACAGAGTACAGGTCATGGCCTCTAAGCAGGTCAGTATTAATCCAATGGGGACAAATGCACGTCAGTATTAATCCAATGGTGATATATGCCCCAGATGATCACTGAGACATTTTGACTCGGTGCATATAACTTAACGTATTTAAATTCATTTGAATTTAAACTGTGATAGCATAGTCTATGTTGAGCGTTACGTTATAAGATACATCATGGAGCGGGAGCTGAGATATATTAAATGCTACGAGAAATGAGTGATAATGAAGATAAAGAAGTATATTACTCCTCCATTTATTCAAATGAATAGATTGAAGAGATCCTGAGGACAACCTCCCTTTGTAACACCATATGTAGTTAATCTGTATTAACCCTTTGATCCCAAAGAGTGACTAGCATCCGATTTCTCCCTACAATATCACCCCTGAATCAAACATGAAGGTGTCGAGAATAAAGGAAATGATCACCAACTAAAGAAGATGTTTAGTCATTGCTGCATGGTGGCGTTGTTCACTGACTGAACCCTGCTCTTACTCCGCCGGCATTGTTTCAGTTTCAGACATTTTCTCCCGATGACAGTGTTTTGTCGCTCGGACCCAGTATCAGGTGTGTCAGTGATATAAACAAGGCGGCCATTAGAGATCAGATTCAGGTTAGTTTATAAACTTTAAAGTAGGTTCAACATTATATATTTAAATGAAGGCGACAAGAGCCACGTGGCTCGTAGCGCATAAACTAAGATTTTTCAAACACGAGAAGGGATGAAAGAGTGGTTTGCTCCGGTTAAGATACCAGCGGCGGATATTATTCTACTTTACAACACTCCCATTCATACTCAGTTGAATTAAGATGTGGGAATGATCCCGCATGTTCAAGGTCACGAGCTAAACGATGAGGGTAGGAGGTAGAGCCACTCCCCTCCAGCCTATGGGAAAATTGAGTGTGAATGGAGTGGACGAGTTTTCAAGGTATTTATGTTGACCTGTTACGTAAGCGGTGGGAGAAATTCTCACCTAACTGTTATTGCGTAATTCAACTTTTCATATCATTATTACTTTCCTATACAGTTGAACACACTGAAAGTAATGCCTTATGAAAGTCATTTAGACTAGTAAATATCGTTTCTGATAATTTCCTATCTTTGATAAATGTTGATATTTGATAGTACTTTTTTCTGATCTTGTGTATTCACTCAAGAACAGTCTGGTCTTCTGAAAAGACAGTTAGTAAAGCCTGAAATTTACCACATACTTATTATGCTGAACTGATCATCTGTGTGCGTTCCTTTTGTAGATCGCCTTCACAACGCCTCAAGAATCATACGATGCCTACAGAGTTTTTCAGATGTTTAACTCATATTCAAGGGTAACTTAAATCAAATAGAAGGAACTTGGGTGTCTAGTATAATTTCAAAGCTCACAAGGCTGATTTCCCTAGGAGCGCAGCTCCCCCCTCCCTCCCAACTACCCAAATATCAACCGCCCCCACCCCACTTCAAAAACACGCGCTTTGTAGAGTGTACAGTCGACTTCCGTTATTGTGGATACCCTCGTGGGGAGATTTAGTGTCCGTTAAAGCGAGAGTCTGCAATAGCGGGGTACGAGAGAAAAATAAATTGTTTTGCATCTAAACGTGTAAAATAATATGTAACTACGCAAACGTAAATTTTCTAACGTGGTCTCATGACTCGGAGAGAGATCCGGCCACAAGCAGGATATTCTGACGTTCGCACCCAATTGTAGAACGGTTTCTTTATTTTCATTTATTTTAATGTCGCTTTATATTATGTGAGTCAGGATTTTGGAAAAGTAATGAAGGGGGGGGGGGCAGGCATGAAAGTGTTCGCATTTTCATAATAGCGAGAATCTGTAATAACGAGTTTATTTCAGTCATTTCTTCATGCGTTTCGCCAGGGGTGGGAATATATGTAACGGCGTAATATGTGACTAACACAGTCTATAGACTGTGCGATTTTACGCCACTATCTGAGTCGGTATATTAATTATAATAAATTATTATATAATTAAATTGTGTTAACGGCGTTAAATCTTATATTATACGTTACCGACTAGAAGAAATTGCGCCGTTAGTTACTGGCGTAAAATCTTACAGTATGTATACACTACCGACTGAATGAAATTACGCCGTTAGTTGCCAGTCGGTATTACATATATACTGAAAGATTTTACGCTTGTAACTAACGGCGTAGTTTCTTTTAGGCGGTAACTTAAACATAAGGTGTCCGATATGGCAGAGCGAGAGTCGACTATAGTTTTAGAGAAGATTCAAGGCCTGCTTATTCTGTGGACATAAAATCACCGGTCAAGAGCACGATTTCTTGCACTTGGAAGATTGCCTCACAAGACAGAAGCTATTGTTTTTATTATTTTAATTTGGTAGTTCACAGGAACCTTGTAATACTTAGACGGATCACCATCAAAGAATTGACTAACAAACTTATCGTCACTGATTCTAGGAAGAGCTTGAAGATGTGTTTAAAGAGATGCAGAAAAAGAATCTGGTCAATAGAAAGGTGACTTATCAATCAATCCATCAGTTAGCACGTTAGTCAATCAGTCGGTAATCGACTTTTCTCATCATAACACGTTAGGCTTCTACCCTTTCGTACATATGACAGCCGCCGTTCTCGTTGATGTATCAACCAGATGACTCTAGTTCTACCAATATTGTTATATAAGTTGACATCGTGGAATTCTGAATGTTAGTCGGTCCACTTCAACACAAACCTATTTGAGACGCAAGTAACTGCTGTAAATTAAGAGATCTTTTTGCTTTGCAGTTTTCACTCAGATTTATTGTGTTTATGACCAAGTTGAAAATGAAAAAAAAAAAATATATTTTTTCAGTTGATTAGCAGAAAAAGACCGCGCAAAAGCAACTGAATCTTCTATCCTGTCACCTTTTGCGTCTCTAAAATACTTATTGCTAATCCGTTTTGCATAGTGTGATACTTTTGTTTTATTAACATTTTACTTACTTGCCTTTCTCACAGAAATCGATTGAAAACCCTGGTTTTCAGTTCACTCGCGCGTTACCATTTGCTTCAATGACGTTCCAGCTTAGTTCTGTGTGAGTAAACTACTGTTATTTTAATCCGACTTTAAAGAATGCGTTTGACGGCACGGAAGTAAAGATTATGATATTAGATATTGAAGAGTGGTGACTACAGTAATAAGATATACAGTGTTCAATAATATCTACTTAATTACTGAGTGAGAGGGCTGGACGGGAAAATATTTGGCTCAAGTTCTTGACGTATACGTCGGGACCTCCCGTAACTATGTACATTTGTCAACAATGAGCAAAATTTAATCATTTAGCATGTCTTCTGAAGAATATAAAATTCGCTGCGTCCAAATGGGATTCCAGCACAACTGCACTTGTCATTTAAGGGTGTGTGGTATTTCTCTGTGATAGCGCAAACCTCACACAAGCAAAATCATAGGACTAATATTTATTCTGTGAAAGAACTTTCTCACAATAGTTAAATCTACGCTTTCCAGCCCCTGCAAGAGACCTCGGCACGGCAAAATATGACCATATAGAAAGGACACTTTGTTGAACTGAAAATTTGTAAAGGAAACTAAGGAAAGTAAAAGTATTGTTAAAGAATATCACTAAAAAGATTTTTTGATCTTCCTCTACAGGTATCATCGATTATTCATGCATGGCTTTAAACTTGTGACATTCTACAGAGACTGCGCTCACTTTTGGAAACAGCTTGTGAAAGGAGAACAGCACAAATTAAATAAAGAAGAAGACAGTGACGACAGGCTGGAGCAAAAAGCAGCTTCTCTTACCCCTGGTTTAATAGAATTTAAGCAATCACGCGCACTCGGTGGACATGTCGCTTGCATCCTGTCTCTACTCACCACCGACAAGGTTTGAATGGATTATTTTTAGAAAAATATTTAACTATTAAGTGTTTAGATCGCACGTGATTGGTGTAAATCCGTCTCATATCCGAATGTAATCAAGCTAAAACTGACAAGTATTCATGTGATATTCCCCAAGAAATATTCCCTAATCTTGAGACCGTCATTCAGATATGACAGTCGTCTTAATATAAGTGATATAAATCTGAATCTCTGAGAAGATCGGAATCTGTGTCATTCGAGACTCCGGTCGCATTCTCCATGTTAGAGTTGTTAGGTGATACTTATGTAGTGAAGGGACTCCCTTAGGGGTTTAATTAGCAGCCTGGAAGCGGGTAGATCTGTACCCGTTTGTTATGCGCTAGCAACCTGTTTGTAGCCTTTACACAAATGTCATTGTACTACGAACATAAATGTAAATCTCTGTAAGTTCACTTACATTGGTTGACTTTGAAGAAAAACAATGGAACGTGGAGAGGAATGCACCCTAAAATGTTGTAAAGAGTAACTACAATAATCTAGAGCTTTAAAATTTTATAGGGGAGCCCAGGCACTCCAGGCCTTGAAAACTGCCTGCCTGCCATTTCAACCACCCGTTTGTACCATATTTAATGAAACCACTGAGAGAGAGCCTCCTATGTGTTAAGATAGGCCTTCTACAGCTTCTCTGCTTTTAACCGCTCTGAGTACACTTTAATTGGTATATTTTTTTCTGCTTGTTTTGAAGTTTTCTTTTCTCTGCTCATGTTTACAGTTATCTGTTGATGTGAGCATTCCTGAAGAGGTGTTGAACTGTGACTCGTCAGGGCTATCAGAGAACGTCGAGCTAAAGTCAAGTCAAGCCACTGGTGGAAGTGGTGAACCAGTGTCTAAGGTACATGATTTTTTACGTATGGCTGAAACTTCTTTTAACGCTTTAAATCTATAACCCTCAAGAGTGATTAGCATCTAATTTCTCTTTATAATATCACCCTTGAATCAAACAGTAAAGTCATGAGAATAGAGGAAATGATCACCAACGAAAGCAGCTCTTGATTATTAAATAAATTCTCTTTTTCAGCACCTTGGGAAATGTGTAGGGAATACAATGGAGAATATGTATACTGATGTTAGGGGGGTAAAGGTAAAGGTAAAGGATTAATAAGGCCTTGGAAAGATCTTTTAAATTCCACAGCTTCCAGACCAAGGGATTGGTCAGTTTTGCACTAACTACACATTGGCCACTCCCAACTCGGTGAAAAAAGTTGGTTGCAGTTTAGGGAGGAATTTATTTTTGTTCTGTCTCTTAAAGGACGACGCCTCATCAGAGAAAGGTAAGACAAGAACTTCAGCGAAGACAAGAACTCCTGGCAGTGCTGGAATAACAGAGAAGAATCAGCCGTCAACAGCCCAGGGTGCCATGCCAAGTAAGAGCAGTGATACGGTCGAGTCAGCCCCAGCTGTAAAGCAGTCAGCGTCCTCTTCCAAAGCAAAATCCTCAGAGAAAAGTTCAAAAGGAAAACGGCCAAAAAGACGAGAAGTTTTTACCTTGAGGATATCATCATCATCAACTGCAACAAGTTTCACAACTCCATATGATCTGACAGCTGTGACGGACTCAAGCAACTATTTGACAAGTTACACTGAGGAATGTGAGGGACAATGTACCGAAAGACAGAGTAGTAAAGTATCCACTGTACCGGTGGCATCTCTGTCCTTCAGCGGCACATCCCGCTCATCAAGAACTGCACTGATGTTGGCTCGGGGTGGGAAGGACCCATATGCATCCATGAATCAGCTCTCAGCTAGGGCTGTTAACACTCACGACTTCATGACTTTGAATCCATGCAAAAATGTGTTGAAATTGAAAGAAGACTCTTCGGCACACGTAGCAGTTTATAGCGCTGCTGAAAATAGACCCAGTACCTCCGCGACCTCTTCTGACGAAGGGATTTCAGGTTATAGAACTTATCCCGTTATTGTTTCCGTGGAATTTTCAATAGACGATTATGTTAAGCTCAGTAAGGAAGAACTGGGCTTCACTGAAATTGATTTAGTAATGGCAAGAATCATTTACGAGGCTGTTGGAGAGAAAGGAGAGTTTGGTGTGACTGTGAAAGAGTTACAGGTCTGTTTTACCATTTACAGTATCATTGTTCTCTAGTTAATCAATTAATACAAAGTCCTCCTTAACCGGTCACAAGAAGAGCTTACCACTTTTTATTTTGCCACACGTTTACGAAAGGCTTGAACCCTCCGATTTTCAGATGTTCAATTAATGGCAAATGACAAAATTAAGGTTAGAAGCTCTCAGATCTTATTCGAAAGTGGAAATAATTATAATGAAAATTTGTAATGGTTGCTGTTGTCCGTGAGTATTTCCAGTGCATTACAGACTTGGTTACTATGACCTTAGTGGGTTGCTTAATGTTTGTCTTTCGTCTTTAGTTAAAACTGCAAGAAAGGAAGTGGGTATTGCAAACATTCTAAAATTATAATATTTCTAGCGTTGCAATATTATTTGAGAATGATTCACTTTGTAAAGGAAGTTTGTTTTAGAAAACTCCATAGGGTTTTTGCTTAATGTTGGCGCGCGCGCGAAAATTTTAAGTTTTCGCTTTTCAAGGTCACCAATAGCCATCAAAAGGCCACGAGCAAGGTTCGGACTATCATTTTCTGTAGTATATATTATCAAAATGATTTTCGTTATTAAGTTAAGGCTCCAGGAAGGGAGGCGCTCACCAGCGATAATTTGGCTCTGCCTTTGATTTACTTCGTGAAATCTCTCAAAATTTTCACAATTTGTGAAATTTGCCCTGCCGATCATTTAAAAGCCGAAAGAAATAGGAGTTACAAAGGCAGTTTCCTCACTATTTGGTATTTGCTAGGTTTGTTTTGTATGTTGATATTTTAAAAGCTCGTGCCATGTTCGCACCCAGATCTCGCGCGGTCAAAAAAATCCTATGGAGCCACCTTGAAGGAAGATGTTATTCTTTTTGTCACAGTAAAGGGATGAAAATTAATTCTACTAACACGCACAAAGTTTCAACATGGCTGTTGTGCGAGCCTACTCTAGGACTTAGCTTCCATAGAGTTACCTGTAGTTTATTGGCATAGCAGTAGAGCGCGGATTCCAAAGGCCTGGGACTCGATTCCCTTTGGGAATCAGATTTTTTTTTTTCTATGTCCTACCTTGTGACGTAAAGAATCGCATCTTTCTTTTGTTGATGAACGACCTCAGAATTTTCAATCTTTAACTGTTAACTCTTTGGGTTACTCTAGTGGTAGCAAGACGTAATCCACCCCTATTGGCAAGTAATGCGAAACCAATGCAATATCACATTTCTTTCGACGCTCAAGTAAAAATAGTTCTAAACCTGAAAGCAATCGTATCTATTACTGCCGAAATATTGCACATAAATCTCGCATCTCAGAGCTGGTCAATTAATAACAGTCTAAAATTGTGTTTTCTCTATACCTGATTTTCTATTGCCTTCTTTGTTATTAACATTTAAATTCTTTTCCTCTAGACGAAAATCCAGGAGAAACACAAACATGAGCTAACTTCATCACAGTATTCTCTTGCAAAACATGTGACGTACATGTGCAAAGCAAAACTGGTAAGTATATTAAGGGCAGTAGTAATATAAATGCACTTAAAAAAACGTCACATAAATGTGTTCGATGGTCAAACTAGGGAGACTAAATAGAAAGTGTTCTTTCTCCGCTTTATTTGATTATGTTTGAGCCAGATTATTATCTCAAATCATGATGATTATCTAAGATTCTATTACAAGAGAAAGTCAAATTCAATGAGTTTGAATATGTTTAAACCGAGGGCAAGCTTGAATCGCAGTACGTACAAATAAATTGGTTTTTTTTTGTTATAAACAAACAGACAAAATTAAACACAAGCAAAAAATAAAAACAACACAGTGAAAGAAGGACAGTTACAGCTTCGTCTCACTTCAGTGGTTATTCCCCTAAACTTTCATTTCAGAAATATTTAAAGGCGTCGCTATCACTCATGTCGTTATCATCTCGTGAAGTATGATTTGTTTTTTAAATTTTAGCTTTACAGAGTTGGTTTGTTTGAGGAATGTCTTGTCACTGCAAGCTTTGTAAAACCCTGGTGTGTGACTGTCCTCAAGGTATTTTTTCGCGTCTTTTTAGCTCAGAATCGTTCCTTTAAAATGTTGCTATGCTGACAATGTTTTCCTCATTTAACTGTGTCTTGAGAACGCATTTCGTAAAACCAGAAGTAGAGTAATCACATCAACCAATTAGAGCAAAGGAAGATATCACAACGAGCCAATGAGAATTCAAAATATAGACAAGCAATGTATCTGAAGCACAGGAAAACGCTCTGATCAAGTCGTGGTCGGTTTTAGTTTTGACTGTGATTGGTTAAAAAAGTGGCGCGACTTCTCTGGACCGATTTTTAGAGCAGGAAGAGGAAATCCAAAGCAATCCTGAATTACTTTCCACACTCCATTCAAAATTGCTCAATATTTAAGCAGCTTTTTGCACCTTTTGCTTTAAGCCCAAGGTTTCTGAGCAATTGCAAAGAGAGGTACCCAAACATACTGAAGACGCTACAACTGCTGGGAACTCTTTGTCAGAGGCCTGTGTCTCGTTAAAGCAACAAGAACCTACCGAGGAAGACCAAGATGCAAGTGAAGAAACGAAAACTAACCAGAATAATTCTGAAACTGAAAAATCAAATCCTGCCGGTCACCCAGAAACTAATAATGGCACTGCTTCAATTGATGACGCTGATCACCTTGAAAATACTGGGCTTTGTAAAGGAGGGACAAACGAGACAGCAGAAGAAGGGAAAAAACCGGAAAAAGGAAAGAAATACAGAATCAAGTAAGTTTTCTTTGTTAAAATACAGATGATTTGTCTTGCAGTTTTTCGTTATTGTGTGCACAAGTGTTAGAACGGCCCAAACCTGTCCAAGCCCTTAACTTTTTTTGGTACTTGCAGAGTAAACATTAGGCTAAGGGTAAACGTTCTGTCAATGAAGTAAAATGCATAAGGGTTATTTTGAGTGAAACTCTTATAGATTTTTTACCATTTTTTACCAGTAATTATGATCAATATTCCGTGGTGTGCCGCCCATGGATCACAATTGATGGTGACACAAGTCAACGGCTATTGCGCATGTTTCGAGAGATGGTTCTTATGTTGATTCTTGGGAATCCAGGGATATCACAGGTAAGGACCTCGGAACAATGAGCATGAGACGTAGCAATTAAATATCTTGAGTTGGGAATTAGAAGTGATAACAAGTAACAAATCTTACGAGTTTTAGGCCAGTTATCAAGTGCGTGTCGAAAAACCAAAAACCAGAAGTATCCCAGCTGATAAATAGGACAAAAGCTTCCTTTATCACTAGCCAGTGAGAACTCAAAAATGAAAACAAGCAAACTGCTTGAAGCGCGGGAAAATGCGCCTGACCAAGTCGCGATTGTTTTTAGTTTTGCATCTGATTGGTTGAGGGGATGGTGCGAATCTTCTGGACCAATAACAGTGCGAAGACAAGTGAAACCAAACCAATCCTGAGTAACTTTCGACACTTAATTGAAAATTGCTCTGACGTGTTGATAACACGTGTTGATGTTGGTAAAAAATACTCAGGCTTCCCAAGATAGACCAGCATTTCAAGTTGATTATTACAATGTTTGGTCTCGTCATTTTTCCCATTAATCCTGTGTTTAGTTTACAAGCACTATACTAATTTCTTGGTTCAATCGACTCTTCATTTTCTTTTCAATTTCCATTGGAGTAATCGCAGTCACAACAAAGTCGGCGAGGTGATCTCGTTGTCGAGGTAGTTGCAAATCTGTCCATTCAAATTGAAAAGCGGTTTATGATAAGTTCTTTTTTTTTTTAATTTTGTTTTTATTTTTTTATTAACCCTAATGATGGCAAACAGCCGAAAACGTTTGGTTTAAACATTTTAATTTTTTTTACCTTTTAGCCTTGTATATAGAATACAATTTACAAAGCGAACATTATGGACATAAGTTCTTTTGTTTTTGTTTTGTCTTCAGAGCCAGATTGCTAAGCATTTCTTTGAAGCCTTACGGCCAGTCGCATTGCAAGATATACTTGAGGTATGAATAAA